GTGATAGTAAATGTGGGGTCGCATTTATGAGAATGATAATGACTAAGTTCTCTAAAGCTATCATGAAACCAGGATACTCAATTAAAGTCAAATTGGAAATACACTTTACTATCAAAAATACTCTTTATTTCCTAGGCGTGCGCATTTCGTCTTATGGATCTTGGCGTGGAGAGAGAGAGCTTTAGTACTAAGGACATTGTTACTTATCATGATTGATACGAACATTTCTGGTACAACGCTTACTTTTCGATAGTAAAGAGTATTTTTTATAGTAAAGAGTATTTCCCACCTAGGCAAAGACTACTACCAATTTGACTACTGTAAAGGAACCCACTAAAGCCAAGGTCACGATTCACCGAACCTTTTACAAGTTAAATAATCAAATGTAAAGGTATTGTTAGTACTAGGTACCTACTAGCCCCAAAACTAAGCTCAACTACAAAAGTGGTATAAACCAGCAATGAAGAGATCCAGTACAGATTAGTCATAAAACTATATAACCTAAGAAAAAAGTAATCCAACATATTAACTTAATTAGCATAATTAGATCATGTTAAGTTTAATTAAGAGTACAAACTCAACTTAATTGCAAATGGAACTTTGGCAGATGCCATCTGTGTTTCAAATTGACCAGGGAAGGCCTGTGGACACCCTTCCAATTCCGGTGTAACCATAATTTTGGTTAAACCAAGTAACTGCATATTCTTTTACTAGCTATTTTGATACTCGATGAACTTAGGAACCAAGGCATACTTAAATGCAACAAATCAATGCAAAAGATATTATCCGACATACAAAACTTAACAGATCGTCAAATCAGGCATACTTAAGCCTTTGTAATATGTTATCCTAAAGGGAATTTAAAGATTATGTTATGTATAATGTTGTGCGCTAATTTATAGGATAGTGGGACCTATATTTGTCTCATACAGTATTTGGAATACTAAACAATCACCTAGTCCTCTAGAACAGCTTTGGCTCACAATATGTTCAACCTCTGAAAAAAAGAAAAATATCCTTTAAGGTCATAGAACCATATTTTCTTCAAGATTTTCCTGCTTAATACCTATCTCACACTTAAGCAAGATTTTCCTGCTTAATAAGATAATTTTTTGACTATAATCACAACATATTTTTCTGAGAACAGCATGGATCACGAGATTCAGCCTCCAAGAAAAGCAAATGTATACAACTAAAGAACCATAACATATTCCTTCAAGATTCTTCTACTTAATACCTTTCTACAAAGCAAGTCAATTCTAGCAAAGTGATCAATAAGATCATATTCTCTATTGAAAAGATCCAGAACAAAGCTTGACCACATTATTCAAAGCAGCATTCCGCAATAACACGAAAATAATTGACCCCAACAATCTTTTGCTGTGCATCATAATACGTTAATGATTCTGCAATGTAACCTCAAATTTCAAGCTCAAATAATTCATGCTTAAGCATAAACAATGATTTGATTCTCCTATAACACTATGACAATTGAACCCCATAATACGTGGCTTGAAATCACAATGCTTAAAGTTTCTGCACCGTAACCTCAAACTTCAAGCTGAAATATCTCATGCTTAAGTAGAAACAGAGATCCAACAAAACTTTCCTAGAGTCCTAGATCACAAAACTATATATATAAGGTTATATGCCCATAAAATATTCTTCAAGATTCTCTGTTTAAATAAGATGGTTCTAAAAGTTTTTTTTGGGTAGGTAGATGGTTCTAAATGTTGAAAAGATGCAGAACAAACAATAGTCCAGAGACATTCTCCTATAACACTCTACAAAAATTCAAGATCAAACTACTCAAGCTTAAGCACAAACAGACATTTCACTCTATTATAACACAGTCTGCAACAATTGAACCAATAATCTGTGGGTCGATATCATAATTCTTAAGGACCCTGTACTGTAACATTGAAATTCAAGCTGAAATGATTCATGTCAAAATACAGACAAAGATCCAACAAACTTGACTAGAGTATTTGCTCCAAGTACTTGTAAGCATTCTACGAAGAAAACTGATCTGAAAGATTAAAGAATATCTCTCAAAATTTAATTCCAAATTCCAACCAAAAACAAAACACAATCAGTGTAGCATCTTATTATTGCTTAGCAATAAGACAAAATGTTCCCAAAAGGGGGGGGGGGGGGGGGAAGACCAAGTAGATTCAATCTCCAGGTTAGTGCCATGAATTAGCATAACTACCACAATTTAGCATTTTTATCATCATAAACTAGAGCCATGAATGACATAAAAACAAACATTTTTATCATCACAATTTAGCATTTTTATCATCAAAACAAGCACAACAAGTGCAACAAAGATAATTTACTAAAATGGTTTAAAGCATGGAGGAAAATAGCATGCGATGCTGATTGATAATACCATAATTTACTCAAGAAAACACACTTTCAGAGAACTGTTACTGGTGATACGCTTTATTATCTTTACGTATCTTCTCTTTGTCAAGTTATTAAAACAGAATTTATTCAGATTAAAGGACCAGCATGCATCAACAAAGCAGATGTTCAATCTTTTCTTCATTTATGTAAGAACATCCTTTTACTGGATATCTTTATCCCTACAAAGACACTTAAGCAAATAAACTGAAACACTTCACTCTGCAGTGACACTTAACCAAATAAACTGATTAATTTGCTAGATCTAATATATAAAGAAAGAATAGTTGGGTGAATCCTACACTGATTTGAACCTGAAACACCACAAGGACCAAACTTGGCCTCGAAACTAATAAAATTTCCAAACCAAAAAGGTATTAACATGGATAATTACCCCAACACCACAGGGATTCATCATATAAAACATCCCTATAGAAGCTAGTATTACACATTTGGTCCAACAAACATATTGGATATGATCACGCTATCTCCAGAAAAAGGAAAAGCAAAAAACTGTAGCATTTTGTTCTTGATTTTCCCCTATTTGGTCAAGGGAATATCAAAGTAATTTAAATTTGGCTGGCTCATAAATGTACTAATCTCTCAGCCTACCATTTCCTCCTCTAGCAATAGGCGTGAGAAACTATATCTAGTAAAATAATCCCTATCATAGAGTCAAGAATTCTAAAATTAGTCTTAGTGTTCTAAAATCAAGTGCCTCATTATGCAATTTCAGTTGCCTAACACATTCATTAAAAAACAAGTGAACAAATAAACCAATAACAACCATGATTTAAGTGAATAGAGCTGATACCCAAAGGGATAAGAACAAGACTAAATCATTTCTGGACATCCGTGCCCCATGCTTTTCAAAACAGTAGATATACGACAATGAGGTAAGCTGTAAACTAATCCCAACTTAAAGAATTTTAAAAATCTGCTGAAGCAACTTAGAAAAATAACTAATAGATCCTAATCCCATCAAACAACAACCTCGGGAGCCTAATCTTTCCACTGTCCATCCGCAAACTTATATCAAGTCAAATATGGCCTTCTAAAGCTTCAACATAGTCAATAACCAGTAGAAGATCTGAGGGTTCTTTTACAGAAAGGCCCTAATAACATGCTTCATAAGTCCTGTAGAAGGGCAGATATATATTTTTGTTTCCTTTTATTTTGTTAAGAGAATAAATATTTCTATAAAGTTGTGTAAGAAATGACTTCACACTTCCACTCAATCCAATATTTCTGTTTACCAACAACAAAGATCTTGCTTCACAGCCTTGTGTGAAACAATGAATCAAGTCAAACTTTGATACCGTTCATTTATTCCTAACATCCAGGACATTCATTAAAACCACCTTCCACTTACCAATCAACACATGAGTATGATCACAACAAAGATGAAGACCAATACTTAAGGATATCAACTAAGTAAACCAGCAAAAAGAAAAAAAACACAGAATTCACCAGTAAAGAGTTCTACAGGCTTCCAAGAAGATTTTCTTTTTTTACTTTTTCCACCACGTTTCCAAGAAATGCTCTGAATGCCTAAATAATCATGTCACAAAAATAACACAGATATTCCCCGAAAAAAAAACAAAGAAAGAAAGAAACATGCACAGATAACACAAATTTTATCGAAAGGAATAATTTCAGAAACCTCCCCTAAAGTTTTTAACAATTTCATTAAGCTCCCCTAAGATTTGAAAAATTACGCCTACCTCCCTTGATTTGATAAATTTAGTAACAAAACCTTAAAATAATAAGGACTTGGTCAAATTTTTAAATGAATACTCAAAAATGCCCTTGTGCAATGAGTCTTAATTTATTTTCCCATACAATTATAAGATTATCTAGTATAGTTATAAGAAAAAGATGCCAAATTTTTCATGCCCATACCTACTATTTAATAAACAACTATAATAATAATTTTATCACTATGATAGAATACATTTGATGGTATCTTATTATGGATTTAAATTTATAAAATAGCAAAGAAAATATTAAAATAATTCATTTAGAATTTATGAATTTTTCGAGTAGTGGGATTATTATAATTTAGTAGTGGTTTTTGGGCCATTTCCTTTTGATTTATTATTAATTTTCACACCAAAAAATAGAAAACAAAGATCAGCAAAAACATTGGATTGCATATAAAGTTAATTCATCAAAAAAATCACTAGTTCGAAAATTGTTACAATAGACACTAGAGGTAACAGTGATAGTTCTACAGTTTTATTGGCAAAAAATTAAAAAAAAAAATAAGAAGGAAAAAAAATAATTTTAAAAGTCATTCTAAGCATAAACATACCAAACAAAGGAATTTCATTAAAATATTTAAAAATAGTATTGTCATTTTAAATGATAAGGGAGATACGTGTAATTTTTAAAATCTTGAAAAAGCTAAATGAAATTATTAAATACCGCAAGGGAGGTTTCTGAAATTATCCTTGTCGAAAAGCTAAAAGAATAAACACAGAACATATATATACAACAGCATTACATGGTCTAGAAAATCATCAACTTTTTTGAAGTTCCAAAGATTTTAACAAAAATTTGACAACTATAAATGCAGTAAAAAGGAACTTTACCTGAATTTTTTGGTTAGAGAAAAAGCCACAATCTTTTTCAGAAGCCTATAAATGCAGAAACGGAAAGAATATCATGATCCTAGAAAATTGTCAGAAATCAAAAAAATTCGTAGTAAAATTCAAAACTCTTACAACTGAAATCCTATGACTGACTAAAGAAAAGAAACAAAGATCAGCAAAAACAGTGGATTTTACCTGGTTTCCATGTATAGCAGAAGGCCAGAATCTTCATCAAAACCCCTCAAATTTATTTTCTCTGTTCTTTCCTCCCTTTCTCTCAGACACCAAACACACACTAACACACAGTTTTGAATTAATTAAATCAAAGAATAAGAATTCAGAAAATGAAGAAGACCAGAAAAAATCATGATTTTTTTTTAAAAAAGCATTCAAATTGGGCCCAATTTGAATTAAAAATTTCGGAAAACAAAATAAAATGGAAGACCTACTGTGTGTGAAAGTGCGTGTTCTTTGTCTGTGAATCGTGATTGAATAATTGAAATATAGACAGTATATATATAGAGAGAACAAGACTGCCAGACTTCAAGAATTGGACATTTCTCCAGAGGAAAAAAACAACGGTCATTATTTTGAATTTTTCATTCTTCAATTTTGCCAGAGGAAAAACGGTCTTTTTTTTCGAATTCTTCCCCTAATCTACACTTTTTGATCATTTCCCCTCTGGTTTTTATTTGCTTCTCTGCTTTCTGGAGTATTCTAAATCAGGTCTCCAACGGGGACTTTCAACGGGATGGGCGGCATCGGATATTTCCACATTGGGCCAAAGGCCCAACTGGCGTATACTTTGGATTTGGAATGGTTTCAACTTTTCTCATTTTAATATTTTCCTCATTATAAATTGAGTTAAAGTATATCCACATCAACCAAATTAGGCTCTTGTTCGGACGCCACTAAGACAAGCACGTGTACCACTTTTGTGTCATACCTTCTTTATAAAAAAAATTTGGAATCGTTCCACATCAACCAAATTAGGCTCTTGTCGGGACGCCACTAAGACAATCACGTGTGCCACTTTTGTGTCATACCTTCTTTATAAAAAGAATTTGGAATCGTTTCCCTTCTATCACCATCACTGGTGAGAGCATACCTTAGGAATGATGACATATCTCTAAAATCATAGGTCATTTATATAATTCTTACAAATTATCCATCAATATACTACTTTTATGAGAAAGTGGCTATGTCATCAACTGAGTCAACTCATTGACTTCTCTCTCTCCTCTCCTCGCTTTGAAATAGGGATGGACACCGGTCGGGTATTCGTCTCGTACACCATTTAGCTGATTCGATCTGTACCTTACGGGTCAGTCATTTTTTGACTCTTATCCGTCCCGCATATTGGGTACTCGATGAGATAGAATCGGGTCAGCGAATACTCGTCCCGCCCTGCTTATCATGTAATTTTTTAGAAGTGATTTATACTAATTTAATTTTGTATTTTTACATATTCATCTAAAATTTAATAAAGATTTTTCTCAAAAAAATCTCACACCAAGAAACAAACATGCGAAGACAATACAAGAAAAAAGGAACAAATTAAAAGAATTCAAAATCAATAAAAATTTGAAATAATTAGCACGTTTTTTAGTTATATATTTCACATTAGTGAAACTCTTTTCTAAAAAATATAAGATCATTACCTCTACAAATGAATCTTATAAACAAACTATAATCTCGTTGACTTCTCTCTCTCCTCTCCTCGCTTTGAAATAGGGTTGGGCACGGGTCGGGTATTTGCCTCGTGCACCATTTAGCTGATTCGATCTGTACCTTATGGGTCAGTCATTTTCTGACTCTTATTCGTCCTGCATATTGGGTACTCGATGAGATAGGATCGAGTCAACGAATACTCGTCCCGCCCTGCTTATCATGTAATTTTTTTAGAAGTGATTGATACTAATTTAATTTTGTATTTTTACATATTTATCTAAAATTAATAAAGATTTTTCTCAAAAAAGTCCCCCACCAAGAAACAAACATGGGAAGACAATACAAGAAAAAAGGAAAAAATTAAAAGAATTCAAAATCAATAAAAATTTGAAATAAGTAGCACATTTTTTAGTTATATATTTCACATTAGTGAAACTCTTTTCTAAAAAATATAAGATCATTACCTCTACAAATGAATCTTGTAAATAACCTATAGTCTTCCATATTTGTAATGCAATTTGTTCAATGGAATTGCTTATTTAACTCTAAAAGTATTATTTTATAATATGTGTATAAAAATAAAAAATATATATATGCGAAATGGGTCGAATACCCGTAGATTTTTAACTATATAACCCTAACCAACCCCACATATAAATAGATATCCAATCTTCTTTTGACTCGATTAAATAATACAAATCAAGTATTCTAATTTTTGGATAGAATCAGATCAAATATGTTGGATTTTCGGGTTACTAGGTATTTTTATCTACCCCTACTTTGAAATCATCTATTTTGCTGCATCAAAAGCCACACTCTTGCGACTCTCGTGCTTTCCTTCAAATTTTTCCCGTCAATTCGGCAACTCCTTCCCACTCCGTTCTTTTCTCAATTATTTGAACACCTCGTACCTGTCCTCGTCTTTCCGTTGCCCAAAGAACTCTTCAACCCATTCTTATTTCTTCTTCCCCTCCTCTTATTTCTCTTTTTTTTAATTAGTCTCCTCTCTTTAGCCAACTTGAAACACCAAGTGTTGACTTATATACTTTAATTTGCGATGTATTTAGAATTATTTTCAAGCAAGCCACAAAGATAAATGGAATAATTTGTTATTGATTTGCTATTGCATGGCTTGAGATTTTGTTTTCTGGATTTGCGCAACTTGAGACTTTGGTTAAAACGAGAAGCAATTCCACTTTGCACTCTCAAGCTTATACCACTTTCTCACTTTATAATTTAAACTTTTATTTAGGACACTTTGTATTATGAACTCTCGATTTTGGACACTTTATATTCTAAACTTTCAAGTTTATCCCATTTTAGTCCAATCCGTGACAACATTAACAAAATTAACTAGATAAAAGGGCGGTATAAATTGATGACTACGTATCATTTTGTTTTCACTCCAATCCCTTGACACTTTTTGACTGATATTAGCACATTATTATTGATTCATATGATCATCATCACTAATAGTGTTAATAAAATTAACGAAATAAAGAACAATACAAATTAGTGATAACGTATCGCTTTGTTCTAGCTGCAATACCTTAGCTTCTTTTGACTACTTTTGGCATTATTGTTATTTATTGGATTTAAGTGCGACAAACTTGAGAGTTTATAGTACAAAGTGTTCAAAATCCTGAGTTAAGGGTGCAAAGAATCGAAAATAAAAATTTAGAGTGTAAAGTGAAAATTTAGTACAAGTTTAGGAGTGCAATGTGGAGTTAATCCTTAAAATAAACACAAAATCTTGCGGTCTATAAATTATGGTTGCCAAAATTCATCAATTTTTTTTTGATCTTAATTACCTTCCAGGGAGTTGATTGAGATTTTTTTTCATATTTAATTTAGTTTTGAAGTCTAGAAGATGACTATGAGTGAATCTTTGGACACCTCTATTGAATACACAAAAATAAAAATATGAGAGACGTCTTGTGAATAGGACCAATAGGGGTTGCAAATGGGGATGACAACGGGGCAGGAGTAGGGCATGAATCCCTCCCCGTCCCCTTCTTATGCTATAAAATCTTTCCACCCACCTCATCCCCTGTTTTTTCTAACCCTTCCCTTCCCCACCCCATACCCCCGCAGGTGCCCCCATAGTTGTGTAATTATATTTTTTTATTTTGGCATTATTTTTTTATGCATATAACATTAATAACAACTTTGTAAATCACTCTTTTAGATTGTTAGCTAAATATTCAATGTAAAATCAAGGTTAAAAATGACTTTGATCATTTTTAATTCATTTCTCTTCTTTTATAGCAAATCTAAACATATTGTCATTATATTTGTTTAAACAACTTACAATATGTAAAAAAATTTGAAATAAACTAAAAATAACCAAATAATCATTTTTATCATACAAATTATGATATATATATGCATACATTATTGATATGTAATTATAATGTGTATATGTATGTGTGTATTAAACAATATATATATATGCATACATTATTGATATGTAATTATAATGTGTATATGTATGTGTGTATTAAATAATATATATATATATATATTTTTTAACCTTACATTGGTAATGGGGGATGGGGCGAGTGATGGGCTTGAAGTATCCTCTCCCGCCCACCCTATTTAATATGAGGGGAGAAAAATCCTTCCCCCACCCCCACCGCCACGCCCACCCCATACCCGTCCCATTGCCCTCCCTCGTTGCAAAGCCCGGTAGTGCTACCAGTATATTGTTGAGAGATGGGATGGGCAGAGCCCTAGTTACTAGGCACCACTGACAGTCATGAAAAGGGGCATTGGTTTAGGGGACCAGGGGCCAGGACGGTTGCAAGGCAACCGTTCAGGAACTTTTCATGGCAAAGATGTGATGGGCCCATCATCAACGGCCAAAAATATGGGGAACAAAATGGACATGAGTGTAGAGTATTGTAACTTTAATAGAAACTTGGCTTGTAACTCTGTGATGGCTGCCGTTAAGGGTATGAAAAATTCAAAATCAAAATTTGAAAATCAACTTTTGGTAGGAACAGGCGGGCTTTAAAACTCTTTCAACTTAAAAGAGGTGGGAAGAAAATGGCGGTAGTGGGTTTTCTCTGAACACAATACATTGTCGCTGCAGCTCTTTATGTTCTTCTCCTCTCAACAAATTACTTCGCATAACATAGACATAAATTTTTGTCTTCTTCTCTTCCAACTCTTAAATAAACCATATCAAAACGGGCATCTAGTCTGAGGTGTGCACAAGATAATTGTGAAGATCCGTTGTAGCAACAATACACGTCCAATTCACTTGTGGATGACTGAGATAGATATTCATCGAGTAACAAATGCATAGCCGAGACTTGTAAGCGGCCCATCTGAAATCCACTGTATGGTCAACTCTGTCCAAGGTAAATGCTAATATTATAGGTAATTTGATTGTAATAAATGTGTTATCTAGGGAAGCATGATTTGAAAATTACAAGAGGTATATCATTATCCTTTTACAGAGAACATACATATCGATGGTTAACTTGTACAATAAAGATCCCATACAGAGTTTCAAAAAATAAATGAGGATGTGTACAAATAAAATAACATAAGCGTAAAAACAACTTAACAATGTGGCCAACTTAAATAACTACACAAACGATATAAATGACAATGTATAGATTTTGAGAACTCTGTCGAACCTTACACTATGTAAAAGTGTATTTTACATACATGCATTTGTATATTGGTCTTGTAAAGTGAAAAGTAAAAATTTAGAGTGTAAAGTGAAAATTTAGTACAAGTTTAGGAGTGCAATGTGGAGTTAATCCTTAAAATAAACACAAAATCTTGCGGTCTATAAATTATGGTTGCCAAAATTCATCAATTTTTTTTTGATCTTAATTACCTTCCAGGGAGTTGATTGAGATTTTTTTTCATATTTAATTTAGTTTTGAAGTCTAGAAGATGACTATGAGTGAATCTTTGGACACCTCTATTGAATACACAAAAATAAAAATATGAGAGACGTCTTGTGAATAGGACCAATAGGGGTTGCAAATGGGGATGACAACGGGGCAGGAGTAGGGCATGAATCCCTCCCCGTCCCCTTCTTATGCTATA